ATGGCCGTTCCAAAGTATTTATAAGTTTAATACCATCTTATACAATTGCAGTTCACCGGTATGGACATCCTCATACTACAGACTAATCTGAGTAATTACTCAGCATTGTGCTTTCAATGCGAATTGTCTAAAGCATATTAAAACATAAAGCGTATTCCATGATAGCCTATGACTACCTGTCTTCGAAATTATTATTATCAATCGCCATTTTGCAAAGATATCGACTCTGTTTTTTTTTTGCAATGAAAAGATCGAAATGCAAGAATAGACAGCAAATTTATAATTGGAATAAGCATAAAATAGGACGAATAAATAGGTATTATACGCTTTCTTTAGCTGCTAGGCGCCATTGCTGAACTGTAAAAAATAAATGAACCCCTTAATCTTTGGCTCCTTCTTGTTCTAGCAAAAGATAATTAGTATTATTAAAATTATAATTAGATTAGATCGCATTCGACGACAACCGCTAACTCACAGAAAGAACCTAGGTGTAACACCTGCCTCACCCACAGATATTTAATAACCCCTAAATGTCTAGCTGTTTGCAAGCTCATAGGAGGAACTTCGGAGTCTATCCGATACGCAGATTTAATATACAAGTAAACAAATCATTCATAGAAACAGTAACTGTCTACATGGTTGTAGCCTTCTAAGTTCGCCTTGAACTCGTCCGTATGGTCACTCGTCAGGAGCGCCACAGAAGCGCCTCAAAAATCCGTCTTCGTAGTCCAAGCAGTCTTCGTCTTAGCCTTGTTTGTGACAAAAAAGGTAAAAACCGGAACAGTCAACGGAAAGCTAACGGCGAGCGAGTTGGTTACTCAACTAGATAAAGGAATTTACTCTGGGGTATGATAGAGTAATATTCAAACCAAAAAAAGGCTTGCTTTTGCTCTCCTGGCCTGTACAGCAGGGACCTCGATCAATCAAACGGCTGTGAAAGATTACTAAGATAGGTGGACAGCGAGAGAACGCGAAAAACCCTTAGCGTCTATGTAGAGCGAATGCGTTCGCTCCTCTTCATAGGGCCGGATAGGACTAGGCTAGCCGTACCAGCTTGTTCATTCATCTATCCGTTCCGCCAGGCAATGGTGGTGGAGGCGACGATCACAGGGGCTATGCAAAGACGTTGCAGATGGCTACAACGTAGTTGCATTGGCTCGGGTGATTGCTGATGCTGCCGGCTGCTCGCCGCCAGCTGCGAAAGTCCTCTCAAAGAGCGCCGCATTTAGGACCGCGGTCTTTTCCTGACGACACTCGCTCTTCGAGTCACCCGTCTGGCCCACTCAAGCTCAACCCGGCCGTTTGGTTTTTGCTCAGCTCGGCCTGGTCGGATTTTCTGCCCTAGATGGTAATTAAATTTCCACCTCAGTTGATCGACTCATTAGTTGGTGCCATCCATTCCCGCACTGGCTCCAGCGACGCGGGGCGTTCAGCCGGCAGAGGCCTCAGCAGGCCACACTCCACCGCTGGCATGATGCTAAGGGAGTTCCATCCAGACTGACACTCCCAACGCCGAGCAAACAGACACTCACCCGACTCACCCTGACTATCAGCTCGCTAGGGAGCAATTTTTTCCCATCCGATCATTCCTTGAGCACTTTCTTCCCTATTTTACAGCGATAACGACAACGACGATTCCTAAGCGAAGGTAAGAGACAGTGACGACGAAGGGATCCTTCTGCCGGGCTTGACGAACTTCATGCTCGCTCCGCTCAGACTTCTCTTCCAAAAGCGAAAGAAGGACAAGAACGCGGTCGTAGGAGACCAATGAGCGCACAATTTTTAGTTGAGGACTGCTGATGTTTTCGTTGTCTCGGATCGAGAATCTGTTACTCAATTTGTTGATTCTATCACCGGTGCTCCTTTGAAAATATAGCCAATGACGGGAGCAAACGTGACGCCTAGTGGCTCGGTTTTTTGCATAAGTGACCTTGTTGAATCTGTGCTCATGTTAATCGTAACAAAGAGAATGCAGCAAAGTGCTTATTATGGCGCATCAATCTACTAAACACGCACGCAAAGATTGAAATTAATTCTTCAGAACAATCAATAGCTAACAAAAGGTACGAATGGTGGCTGTAACTGAACGAACAAGCAAAATGAGAAGGTGTAGCCAAGGTTTGAACAGGTGGGAAACTAAATACGTTCATTGAGCATCGACGTCCCACACCAACAGAGACCTTTCTGCTATGTTCCGGCCAGCGAAGGCTATATGTGACTACCGTCGCTGTCAAATACCTTATCCTTCTCACAGTATTCTATCGGCTACTGAATTTGACGTGGTCATGAACCTAACTGATAAAGACGTCTTCAAAAACACACTGATTCTATGAATGGTTTGTCTTTGTCATAAAAAGTGATGTGCAGTTCCCGGTTTGCCCCTGTAAATGAACGCGGCGCCTCATTTTAGATACGAAGTAGATTCAAAGTAGATCTCAGATGCGAAGTACTCATTACTCTGCTAAATCTACTGGATCTAGGGTTATGTAAACAAAACAAGCTTCAATGCGTAACTAATTAACTCATTTCAAAAAGCAAATAGAAAAGAAAGCAAGCTATCAATGGCAGAAACATCACTCTTTCTATTGGGCCAGCGAAAATGAGCCTCATGTCCGCAACAATGTACATTGTTTGCAGGACAAAAGTGCAGGAACACGTCGAGGAGATCAACAAAAAAATAAATAATAGGTCTAAATATGGCAAGAGCGATTTGGGTATTTGTTCAGTAAATGCTTTTGCACCACTTACCAAAAGCTGATGTCATACACGCATTAGTAAAGATCAAAAGCCTGAGCGAATGTGGCAACCCCGTAGAAAGAAAGGGCCTTTCAATGAAATGTAAATTTGAAAATTAAAACCTGTTTAATTTGAAAAGCACAACATGATAATATTATGAAGCGAAAATTGACAAAAAAAAAAAAAGAACTACTATATAGTGTTGGCATTCAAACGATTACCGCAATATATATGCACTGTTCTGTGTATTTCACCAAACAAGAAAAACAACAATTAAGTACCGCGTCCGCAACCGAAATTACGTATGCCACCAGACGGCTGGCCTGCAGCGTGAGAAAATGTATATTTACATCCGAATTTGCACCTGTCGCACCTCACATGTCCGGGGTAAGTCGGTGGACAACCAAACATATTACCGCAAGTCCTAGATTATATCTCCTAATTCAACACAGTTCCTTCTGTTTGCTAAATTCAGGGTACCGTGTCCAACGCTATAGAGACGAAAATAATAACCATAGCATCCGGTAGCCAATCGCACAGAGACAGTAATATCGACTAGTAATTCCAAAGGAAATATATTAACAGAATGCAATTATCTTTATCCTCAGGAAATGAGTCTTTACGACGCAGTCCAGCCGACTGAAGTCTAGGTATCGGCAGAGGCTATAGGTACATAAGGTTAGCGTACGTTTTGATATTGGCCAGTGGCCGTTAGTAACAATGAAACGCCATTAGCTATTTCAAATCGCAAAAGGATGTTCACAGTCAGCGTAATGGAGTACTGATGGGATTGATCAGGCAATCAGACTTCAGTCCCATGACGTATAATAACAAGCAAAATTTTATCAGCTACACTTGAAGTTACTGAGTCCGCGTTAAGGCCATTTTATGGCTATCTGTTATTTTTGTCCTTAGTCAATAGTAGTCTGGTTAGTTTCAGTATTTGCAGAATTTATTTTGATCAACCTTTGTACCGCAGTTTCATTTAAACTTCGGCTCAGTGGACTGTGTAATTTATTCAACGGCAGGAGATGTCCGCGAAGTGCCCCTGCCTGCGCAGGCTCGCAGTTGCTTTGCCCCACTCCACTCATTTGATCAGTGAGTCATTCTATTCCTGAAGGTCGCACACCTGTCCCTTACATCGATGAAGCTGCTAGGACCGATCTACTGTGGATTTCGTCGAAATCATAAAAGCACCAGCGGCCATGAGAATTACCACGAGTAAAACGCCGCTTCAAATATTTACAGATAAACGGCGACATCAAAATCATCTTGGCTTTTCAGGTACACAATGCAACTCAGTGATCGGCAGAAGTCAGCGCTGGGGCGTTTACCATCTTCTGCCTGCTGAAAGCGACTTGGACAGAAGCTAGACACCGAAAGCAGTTACTGTTGGCGCCAGGGTGGTTCAAAAATCGTCAAGTATACGTACGCGAATGGATCTGTACATGTAGCGTGGCGGTGTGTTTGTCGAACGGGTCTGCTAACAATAGCTTCATCGAAATGTCCAACCATTGGAATAGTTTGGCATGGTATTGGAACGGCGAAGCGAAACTTCAGAGTGGGGGGTGACGAGCGAGTTTTGATGTCAGAGCGCAAAAGTCCGGACGTGGTGTAGTTCAAACTGCTAACCGATTCTGTGTCCGAGTGGATGGAAAGATCAGGCTTATACCATATTACGTCTAGTAAATTGCAGGTAAGGCGATAGCATTAAAGAAAAATCAAAACGTTCCATGAGCGTTTCTAATTAAAGTCAACTATCTAGGACTGTGAAGTGAAATTGTTGAGTGGAACACTAGATAACATCTAATAAAAAAATCATTTACTATTATACGTGCACCTCAGTTTTCCTAGGTTATTTTGAGGAGTCACAGATTAATTTCACACCCGATACAACACGAAAATACCATTAAAACCGTCGATTTATATATGTCAATTCCTAAGGGATCGCTTGGAAGCTATACGAGATTTGCAACGGTTATTAACGTCAATATGGTATGTTAATGGAAAAAAGGCATTTTTTTTCTTAAAACTATATTTGTTTTGTTTCTCATGCCTGACATGCTTCCATATACGAGGACATTGAATATAGGCGACCTACTGATCAGGGAATCATGGTGCATTACAACGTTATAAACGAAATTTCTACATAATGTTTGTTTGGCCAATAGCAGCATGCACAAGGCCGTATCTTGCCTTACGTGCTAGGCACCATTAGGCACATAAAGCTACATATATAAGCAAATTAATAAGGAAATCAACACTTCAAATCTATATGAATTTTAATGAGTAGACAGCTTCTGTTGGAATTGAGCTCGACCAATGATATAGCGGTACCCACGAGCTAACTAGCGCATATCTGTACCCGTCAGTATCGCAGGGAATCGTTGTCAGCTCAGAGCCTACCACTGAGGATTCCATCGTTCACTGAAGTCGAAAATTACCTGCAAGCACAAAGAGCAAGCAAAAATTGTGAAGTTCGAGCTTTCTTTGTTCTAGTAACATCGTATTTGTTTTACCTGTGTTATTAACAGGTATATGCAATTAGAGTATAGAAACTTGTACATCACGACAAAGCATTATATCGAACTATTTATTATTATTTGTACCGAACGTTTTTTGTTATTATCGGTACTTTGACTTGAGCAATATAAACAGAGGCCAAAGTGTGACCTGCAAATAACTACTACTACTACTACATGATCCTACCAAATGACAATGAAATAACGTGCGAAATCTTAGGCGGAAGAATGTACTTAAATTAGTTACAGCAATGCCCTCAGTTATTATAAAGGTAAACACTTATAATGTGACCCGGGGCTTTAAATAATGTCATTTAGTGTAGCTAGTAAATATGTAAGGAAACAACGAACTCGATGATCTCAATAGCGAGCTTTCTTTTAACTTATAAAACACTCGTTTATTTTAAGTAATCAAAATTTCAACGTTAAAACAGTATCACTATGACAGTTAAGTGGTGATGAGCAATGAAACAACAATTAATAAATTATCTGTTTTAACATATATATATATAACAAGGGGCATATTGTTACGTGTTACAAATAAACTATATGGCGTATACCGTAGCAGATTTATTTGGTAACACTTTGGCCAGAAGAGAGCAACCCACAGGTTAATTCTATTGTCGCCTGTAATAATCTGTTCTGTTTCGCTATGCTTGCTATGAGCAGTCTAATATGAGAATATAAATAGCCCCAGCCGAGACACGAGGAAGTCCAAAAATATTGTTGGCCAATGCAGTCCACTACGGAATAGCTGATGCAACAAAGTTCAAATTTGTCCATCCCGTATCTTCCCCCATCTTCCCGAGCGTCATCGCGCTCAACCCGCTAGTTTTTGATGATAGCGCTTCATTTATCCTTGAAGGCTCGCCCGCAATTTCCTCTCGCCTTCACGACCCCCTCGATGACTGTTTCTGAGCCTGCGCTGAGTCCACTCTTGTTATATCTGTTGACTCGTGCCTATAGTTTCGTTGGATGCGGATGTGGAGCGCCGGCCGTGGTCAGTAGAAACTCCTGTGTATGTCAAGGCACAAATTATCGCTACCATTTGTAACACTCGCGTGCCGAAAGGGACCTGACAATACGACCATTGGTAAAACTACAGCAACAGCAGCGGCTCGCACGGCTGTCGAAATTCAGCCAGCTCGCAACGAAAACTTACCAACATTGCAGAAAGGAGGATTGGTAAAGAACAATAAATAGAGTAGGGTTTTGCGCAACTGACTAGTAATACAATGGTTCGTGTCAACAGAAAGGCACTGATTTGACATATGACGCTAGGGCAGCCATCGAAGGATATACGCGAATCAGGTAGGTGGGCGTCAGTCCACATAGAGATATTTGAACCGACAATGGATGGCATTGCATGGTGGGGGATTGGGGTCGCGGAAGAACGGACAAGCGAGGGGCTTTAGTTGGCTTGTCGCCCGTTGCGAACTGGTTAGAAGATCATGAGAACCCACGTAGAGGATACCCACAGAGCAAAAACACGGGTTCGAACATATATATATGTTCCCGAATATATATAGGTAGTGGCGTTCATGCAACCTCATATCGTTAATTAGAATTAATTATGCCTAACCGCTATTGAAATGACTAAACTAACACAACATATAAAAACAAATCGCCCGCTCCAGTTAAATAAGTGAGGTCGTGGTGCACAAGTTCCGCCACGGTAATTGTCCTTCTATTAATAGAAGCCAAATAAAAACCTGCGGCCAGCTACCAATACATTTTTTACGATCGTACAGAAACTCAGAAACATCTCCAGCTTATGCTACATCAGAATGTTACCGCTTGCCATCTAACGAGCTCAATGCAAATAAATTGTATGACCGGGCGCCATGCTAAACATTTTTTTCTTTAATATAAGCAATAAAACTTGGCATCGTAGGAAAGGGGCCATCCCACTGTGCCTCCATCTTCGATGGCATTATCTTTAGAAGCCTACACGTGGTCAGGAACACCGGTCAGAGTCCCCTATAGACGTCAAATTCGGTGTCGTTCGCGTACCTCTAGAGATCATGGGTGTGCATACTGAACAATGTTGCCAGCCGACATATGGCACACGAGATAACCAGCTATGGAAGAGTAAAGCTGACTGCCTGGGTCACTGGATGTCTGATTGAGCGACGATGTAATTTGCGGCCCGGTTGTCGTTTAGCTACAAATTTCTTGCCTCTGTGTGTTTGCCGCCATAGCTAGTTCAGCCACTTCTCGTTTTCTTTCTCTTTCTAGATAGCCATTGACTTGCTCAACCTGGTTTTCTCATTCGTATATTTATCTACTCGGAAAAATTATATTCCTTATTCTCGTCGAACAACTGTCACGCTAGCTGAGGTGTGGGGCAGTGGGTGTTTTGGGCAGTTTGGTGTTCGTAACAAACGAATAACCGCACGCGAGGACTAGGGCGATGCCCAATATTAGCGACTGGTCGTAATGGTAGTCGGATAAGTGCCGCAGTCGGAGAAGTTCAGCTTAACACTGCCCTTGTGAGTCGTGATAGTTGTTACAGGGGCGTCGTAGAAGTGACTGGCGGCTGTTTCAAAATGTGGTCAAATTAATGGTGAACAAAAAACGTTTTCTTTTGAGAAGGCTTGCACTGCGCTGCCTCTCTTCTTACTGAGGTTGATTCAAAGATGATTGGTGATTCTTGTTGTTGAAAACAGAAGCGGCGGCGGCGGCGGCAGAATATAAAAATACTGTGGCCTGTTGGCGCTGTTTTGTCTGTCTGGTCGGTGCTGTCACGATTTGCTATTGGGTCAATCACTTACGACCTGTCTGTTGGGCAGCAATGACGACATGCGCCCACACACACATGAACCCAGGTAGGGTAAGCCAAATGACTGATGTGAAATTAGTCGTTCTCCGGCTGTTAGGGTTTGGCTTCAAAAAATATATAAGGTTCCGCTTATATTCAACTGCGTCAGCCATGTTATCCTAATCATCTATTGCGATTGGCCCGTTGACAGCGACGAGATGATCAAAATAACACAATTTCTGTAAATCATTTTGCGGCATCTACCGAACAAATGACACTAATGTTATTACAATTTGTGTCGACCCGTTTGGTGCTTGTCACGGGCAAACGCAACACGACCCAGGGGTTTAAAACCCAATCGGGTGCTATGTCGCTGTATTAACTTATTCTCTTTCTTTTCCACACTAAGTAAAGCAGACCCTGAAACATCTGTTAGCCGTATTCCTCCCTCCTATATAACGAATTGGAAGTAATGCATGATAGAGGAAGGCCAAACATGTGATCAATATTCAACTTACTTTAGCTTATCTATGTCTATGATGTCGTGATGACCCAAATTAGGTTTTAATTTGGTCGCAGGAGCTGATCTAGTGGACGAAACAACTTAGAAAAGAGTGCGTTAAATGGAAACCCCTTGAATACGTTGGGATTTCATTTGCATAGTTTGTGTAAACGCCGATGTTGGCACTGTACATTAGGCGGGCGAAGACGGGGTATAACGAAACTTTTTCCGAGGGCTCGGTACGATAACTGGGAATACAATAAGATGATAATGCAGGGTTGCCGAGATACGCTGTTATATCAGCAATTTTGCGATGATCAAAATTTTCTTAACTATTATAGATCCACAATTCATCTTAGATGACTGCTAAACATCGGCAAACAAAATGGCGTAGATCAAAATAAACGACATACATATGCATATATATATATATATATTGAATGCCTCCATGTGTTCTGATATATAATAAGTGGGTTTTACAACGAAAAATTTGTTTTCAGCCTTTGCTGCAGATGTGCGGAATATAGAGCTAGATATTCTATTACTACTATTATTGCTATGATGGACAAAAAAACGAAAATAAATTACTAGGAATAACACAATCGGCTCCAAAGTATAGTAGCTATGACTACTTCGTTCATAACAGATGTCCGGGGCCGGGCCAAAATTATCCATCGCTGACGAATTTATATAGCCACTGTTCTGGGGTGAAACCTGAAAGCTGACGCTATCGGAGTGTCTTGCGCTAGCAGAGAGTGGCACCCTAGAAACGAGCTGACCTTGAGTGATGGCCTGTGATGTTTGGAAAACAGATAAGCGTCCTTGTCCGTTGGCACTCGGTTTTGCTGAACGAATAATTGGCGAAGTTATAGGTCGTTGATTCGGCTTGAAGGGCGACGATGGCAGGTGACTTTTTTTCATTTGCTGCTTAGAAAAACACACAGATCGGCTTAATATACGATGCAACAGATAGGCAACTAGCTTACTACGCCGGCCGGCGCGAATCAGAGCCAGCTTCAAATCATCAAATACAAAATAGTGCAACGATGCAATGTTTGTTATGATTTCGGATAGTTTCGGAAGGAGGGGCCCCAACAGAACTACCGATATTGTGTGGTGTTTATATAGGTGACAAAAACATAGATAACGAAGCGGAAGCTTGTTATGTTTACCGGGCTAAATAGCAGACGTTATAGTTTGCTGGGTGTTGATCCGCTGACGAGACCGGACGGACAAGCTACGAACGCCTGCCGGCGACAACGTGTACTGCAGGCGATTTATGATGAAGACGGTAGACCGGCCTAATATAGATTTACGTTTATTTTTTTTACAACTTTTATTCAAAGAAACTCTAAGGTGGCTGCAGCTGCTGCTGCTGTCCTTGGCTGACAGTAAAGGTGCATTTGTATTGTGGAAGGAGGATTGACGGATCAACTTCAGGAGCTATGCACAAGTTCATTAGGGAGATAACACCAAACATAATTGACTAGGCTTCGGAGCCTCGAAGGCCGCGGGGTTTGTTTTAATAAAACAGGAAAAACATTACGGAAAACCTTAACATTGGCAAATTAAGAACGCCGACCACAAATTGTTTAACGTGACGAAGTGTTACGAAAAGGGTTGATTTGGAACTCTGTTCAAGCTTTTTCAGTTACCACCCCCAAAACTCGAGTTTCTTTAGTCCTGACATTAGGCCTAGGCAAAGAGTTCTGCACAGACAACTATTTTTAACATAGAAGCTTCACTAAAGAAAAAAAAAAAAAAAAAAAGCTCGAAATATGTTAAGATGCACCATTTTTAATTGACCTATTCGACGGTGTAGTTCGTTGTCCGCGCATACAGATATTAAATACATACATGATGTCGTTTCGCTACTAGGGCTTGTTCTTTCGAAATAAGGTGAAGCGCCCCACGGACGTGCCATAGTTAGCTAAATTTTTAGATAAGGAACTTTCCATTCTACGAGCTTGCTCCAGTAGATTACCATCTGATCGAAACTTCGTTCATCAGCTGAAATGCTGTGGATCTGAAACCCCTCTCTAGAGCTAACACAGATTAATGAGAAAATACAAAGTCAACACAACGTAGTATTTTTCCAGGGTAGCCATTCTTCATGGCGTGTCATGTTATGGCAACGGACAGAGGAGAACTGACACTTTTGATATATCGCAGTGCAACCACGATGCAGTCAACTGACGGGACGGGCTCGAAAACAAAGCGAGCATTACCTATTGCAATTATCGCATGCTCTTGGTCAGTTAGTTTCTATTTGGTGAAGGAATAAAAACGGTAATGGCCTATTAATACCCCTGCCAACATGTAAGACCTACTGCTAGGGCGAAATTAATGTGGATAGTTAAGAGCAGGGCTCTATGAAAACAACGCATTTCAGCTAGCGCGGTTCATATGAGGTCCGCTGTTCACAGTTCGATCGTGAGATGGACGATATATGACAGAATACTGCATTCAGATTGAAATAAGCTACTTACTGCGCACCCTGCCTATAGTATCGCTCTAGCGGATGTACAAACTGCGTTTTTTGGGCGTATAACCATTCCAATTAATTTAACATTTAGCTCGTGCAAAATTTCGTTTCGCAAAATTCGCTTCGTTTTAGCTATGTTTTTATAAAAACGATTAAAAAAAAAACAGGGTTAGATATTTACCTAGCACTTTGGATAGCATCCAGTGGCGCGGGGAAATAGCTGCTCTCTTCAATAAAAATGTGTCAAAAAATGCCGCGCCTACATTTTGTATACTAAACATAAATTTTCGTTTTGCATTTTACTATGTGGCTTCTTCAATTCGTTGGCGTACCATAAATGCTACCTTCTATCGTCTGGGCCTATTTTTTTAGTCCAAAAGATCTATCGTTTGGGCTTTAGGCAAAGAAGGCACGAGGAGGAAGAAGGCTGAAGGCGTCGGCTGTTCTATGATTATCGGCTTCGTAGATTATTCGAGTCGAAAACTAACTCAGCGATACGAACATACGGTTGCTCGGCCCAATGGTCAGAGACGTCTAGCTCAAACGCTTGCCTGATTGGCTGGCTGATTGTACTTCGGTTTGTTCTGGGCTGTGAAGTGCAGCGGGAAACGCCATCATTTCTGCGTCGAATTTGCGAGTAATGATGATACCAAACTTACGTAAAAGCCAAAAAGCTCTGTTGCGCATCAATATGTAATTGCCGTTCGCACGCACAGCATTGTGCTGCTCACTGTAACATGGAATGGAAACGGGGGAAGGTTTGCTGAAGTTCCGCCTGCAACGAGAAAGGTTTGGCTGGGTAAATTAATTAGTTGGTTGGTTTTTTCATGCGTTGGTTCGCTAGCTCGTTCGTTGCGTCGTCCCGACGAGAACTACGTCAAGGAGCAGAAGAGCCCCACTGCCTATGTTGCCGTCGTCGTCGCTGCTGCTGCCGCCGCCGCTGCTATTGCTTTATGTTTTCCCGAAATCAGTGCTGCTTCTGTTTGCGGACGCAGGGCACTTCCATAGCGGGTCGCGACTGCGGACATCTGCCGGATGCTTGTGTAAGCCAGCTAAGTCGTGGGGTGGTGTTGCCGTTGATGATGGTAAAAGTGCACTTCCTAGCAGCTTTCTGGCGTCGACCGCAGCATTCGCAACAGTAACAGCTATCTTCAAAGCTCTAGTCTAAAAGTTTCAAAAGCAGTGATACAAATGTAAAGTAGGCGAAGCAACTGAACTTATTTCTTGTTCGTATTCGGCCGTACCGTTAAGCGGCGCTCCGAGTGACGACGACGACGACTTTGAGCGTACAAGCTCTGTGCTTAACAGACCTTCGATGTTCTAGACACTAAGGGTCAACACCCGTCAACAGGCCATACTGCTCGTGTACCACGAGTGTTGTCAATGCGGGCAGCGACGTTCCAAAAAAGTAACAGCCAGTTGTAGATAAGTATCCTATTAATGTTTTTTACTACCTCATACAACACGTAACTGTATATAGAACAAAACCCCTAGAAGCTTTTGTGCAGTGTCTGTCGCTCTTCATCATGTGTCCTAGTTATGCTATTTGATTGATCGCGCGTAAATGACTTTTTCGGTAGGTTTCCAGCAGTAAAGGGAAAGCCGTCAGACGGGGCGGATTCACTGTGTATGTATACCTAGCTTTAAATTTTCAGTATTTAAATTATAATGTTTGAAACAGCTTGGACATATTGGCATGGGTTTCTCTTATATCTACAATTAAAGGGATAACCGTATTACTAGCTTACTAATGATCAGAAAGGATGAAAACAAGATTATTGGTAGAACTAAATCTACAATAGCAACAATAACTATACATATAGGATACATACTATATAAGATACATAGTAACTATAGGGAATGTACATACAAACTCAAACGGATTAAATGATTTGTCATGTCAAGCGATAAACGTATCGCATATATGTGATTATTTCAGTTAGGATTGTGGCCTCTACGGCAAGGGGAAATAAAGTTGCTTATAATTCCCTCCCTTTTCATTCTCATTTGGCTTAGACTGAGAATAATTTTTTGCTTTGTCTTGTACTGGAATCAAGTTTGCGACGCTAGCAAACCGTTTGTTCAGCGCTTTCCGAACAGCGCCTGTTGGGTCATGGGCTTCAGCAAGCGGATAGTCAGTTGTACTGCTATAGGCTCATCGCGGATGTGCCGTAATTGTTGGCTGCAAACGGCTGCAAAAGGTGAAAGGTAGCATTATCTCATCATAAAATTGTATGCCCGCCCGCCCGCCCGCCAGTTTCTTGACGGAACCGCGTTACACTGGGACGGTAGAATCGGCCTATCGTCATCGTATCTGTAGCGGGTAGTGGTACAGCCGCCATTAAAACAAGCCAACGGCGGCAGTTCCTAGTTAGAACGATGCGTAGGGCTAATGGAACTAGATGGTAATTCGTTCTATCTGCGCGCCACCGTTGTCCATAAGAAGCGGCAACGCGAAGTGGTTAAGGACGCTGGAAGCCTATTTCTCCTGGTCGAAACCGAGGCACCCGGGCATCTACGATGGCTCCCTTTTCGCCGCTATATTCTGACGTGACTCGGATACCCATCTGAATGGTCATGCTCATCTGCTTCGGAGGGGCTCAACGGCGACCAGCAGAATTTCACATCGCGTCAGTTAACCTGGGTGGCTTCTACTCCTTCCTCATTTTTTCTGCGGGTGAGTATCTGTACGGAGTTTTCGCCGGTTAAAGTTCTTTCGCTCATTTTCCGTACCTATAACCTCATTGTTGGGTACTGTAGCAAGTATTTGCAAGTTCGTCATCGGATTAATACGGAGACAAGCGGGCTGAAAAAATTTAATAGAAAATTTTGTCTATAGAATTTTGTGCTACTCCTTGTCTTCCTCCTTTGTTCTTCTATGCAGACACATCCAATTTAATCTTTTATAGGCGACTGAGAAGTGAAAATCGCAAATATGCGCAGAATCTATGTTTCTCTACCTAAAAACGACAATTCAGTCACGCATAAAGAAACACCTGTCAGTCATCTTGGCAACCGGAAAGGCCGTACGGTGTGTGCTTCGCGTTTGCTTCAGTTATGCAACCTTAACGACAACTCTCGTCGCAGTGGCCGTCAAACGGATCAATTAGCTGAGGACCGCCAGTCAGTTTAAAGCAGCAAAATTATCATGCAACAACACCGAGCGACGACAGACAACAATCGGAAAGTAGGCGCTGGTTTTACTATGAATTTGGGCCTGTTCTTTTATTGGTAATTTTAGTGGAGGCTACCAAAAGAACCTAGCAGATGCACGCCGAGACACTGGTTTTCTCACATAGGCCACATGACAATTCCGATCAGCAAATAACTTAGGAAACGGCTCAAAACAGCCTTATAGCGGTAGAGAACCTCGGTAATAAATGCCTAAAACGAAATCCTTTGTCTTAAAGCTTTTGTTTTTCGTATTTCCTGAGCACTCGGTCCTGCGTCCCGTACCTACCGGCGCCATCACCCAGAAAGCCGTCACGTTCGGTTATTGGATGGATGAGTTGAACAGCCATTTTAACAACTGGCCGTAACTCCAGTTACACACCATGGAAACGCAGTTGGCATTCTGACCCGAGAATGCGCTATTGCCCCGGCTACCCAACGGCCTTTAGCTCCATTTGGGTTGCGTCGTTGGCAAACGCCGTGCTCACTGTGGCGCTGTATAGAAGCGAGACAGGTTAACGAAAACTGGAAGGGAAGTCGGGTTCGCAATGCTAAATTTTATTTCGTACCAAAAACAGCGATGGCAGTAGCTGAGGCAAGACGGCCACACGGAATGCTGCTGCTAGATGTTGGTCAGTTTCTTGATGCTTCTCTTCTGCTCGTCCGTTCACTTGCCGGCTTGGACGTGCGGGTGTCCAAATGAGCTCTCTGCGTGTTATTACCTTTGCAGTTGGCGCTCGAAAACGGTCTCGATGTTCACGTCCGCCGTCTTGGACCGACTTGGAGGCGCAACGAAACATCGTGAAGGCAGCAACTAGCCAAAAGGAGACATCCGGATGTTCCCAAACCTCCCGGGAAACACTGAGATCTCTTGGCAGCTATTAGGGGCCAGGTTTCCAACATCTACTCAGTCCTTTAATCACCTGCATCCACTATGACCTAAGCCAGACCTAGCTGGAGCGGCGCTGCGACAACATTCAAAATGGATTTGACAGGTCCTGAATTTTTCACCATTCGTTTGTGCTATCCGAGCAAGAACCGGCTGAGTTCGTGTAAGATGGTTCGTAGACGGCACTGTGTGGTGCGATATTTTCTTGATAAATGGAAGCTAGATAGAAGCGTCGTGTTTCTCCAAGATATAATTGCTATCGGACTACGAGGGGAAATAGGTAATACGGAAAGCAGCAGCAACACTCGCGGCTTCAATTTAATAAGAGATCGACTTAGGCATTATGATGACGCTAGTGCGGCCATTATGCATTTGTGCTGTTCGTTACTTACAAGCTGCGGATAGATAGATAAAAAAAATATATTATGATCGTGCTTATGCAGCAGTATTTCACTCAGATATATTTAACGTTACGCCAACGAGATGACCAACTGAAGTTTGCTTAACGTACCCTTTCATATATTACGAATGGACACAGCTAAATAGCGCGTATTCGATAAGTACGTTGATCTATAGTATGTCAAAATGCTCACTTTTGAAGTTTTTATTTGCTGTTACAAGGTAACGGCACGGGATTAAGCTCTCAAGGCTGTATTATAATATAGTTATGATTTTATAAAAGTGACCTTAAATATTCATCGTTTTTGGCCTCATCTGAACTCAATTCGTATAACTCAAAATGCAATATTTCCAAAAATAAAGCTTCAAAGATAGAACATTATTGATCTAACGTCGGCCGACGAGCAAGTTCAGTAAACTATGAGCCAGGCGTTCAGAACGGTTCAGTGATGAAATGAGCTACTTCTTTGATTAAAAAGTTATTTTTATAAATAATAAATAAATTTAATAATAGAGCTCGTTGAGATAAGCGGGATAAATTATTTGCCACTATGGAAGCAGCAGGTGGCAGTGTATGTAGCGAATTACGTCGGCTCAACCCATTACAAGACAGCACATTCTCACAGGAGCGTAAACGGAGAC